GTATTCTGCTATAAAAAAAGATTGTGAAATTTTGAATGGGTGTTGTCCAGTGAATGCAAACTAAATGCTGATTGTGCAAAACAGAATTAAATGAATTTTTGCTTTTCTTTGAATTTTTAGCCAATTATGTTTCGTGGTGAAGTTCGCCTAAATGTGGAAGAGAAGAAAACCAGAGCTGCCCGTGAAAGGGAAATTCGCAGTGGTGATGACCGCAGGGATGTACGCCGCAATGACCGTGGTGCTGGGGGACGCGGTGGAGTTATTGGAGGTGGAATGATGCGGGATAGGGATGGAAGAGGCCCTCCTCCACGAGGGGGGATGGCACAAAAGCTGAGCACAGGAAGAGGATCAGCCTCTATGGAAAGCCGCTTCACTGGTCAACGCCGCTGAAAATCATTAATACAAAGTAAAGCCTACAGTGGTACATTATTCGTGGTGTTTGCATTCTTGTTAATCTTAGCTTTGGAATGTGACACAGCTTTTTTTTTTTCTCCTTTTTTCTTTTTTTTTTTTCCTTCCCCATAATTTCTTTGATGTGAAGACATCTTTTGTTTGCAGTTTCAATTGAGGTGAACTTTTTTTTAAATTTTATTTCTTTTGCTGTTTCTCAGCAGTAATTAAGATGTTAATTTTACACCCCGAAATAAGAAATTAGAAGGAATGAGATGACCATTAGCACTGCAAATTATGTGGACATTGGAGGCTCATGTCTAGTAGAGTTCTGTTTTCAAGTATTATCGTTTCTTCACTGGAAACAAAAATAGTGCAATGTTGCCTCCTGTACTTCTTCTTCTTCTTCTTTTTTTTTATTTAGTCCTTAAATACCTTTTTGCATTGAAGGAACTAATGGTTCAGCTCTTGTCAAATGCACGAACGATCTCCTCTTAACACGGTTGTAGGAACCCAGTTTTTTGTAAGACGATGGCATCTGGTTTGTTGTACCATAAACACCTTGGTGCAAACACTATCAAAAAGTTATTTCTCTGGAACTAATTTAAAATCTGAACTTTAATCAGAATTGGTCTGCACATATTCCAGTTCTTACGGTGTGATCTCAAGTGGTCTAATGTTTCATACATGAAGAATTTTTGCACTTGCCCATCCAAGATACCCATGTGGCAGGCTGCTCGTCCAACTTTTACCCTGCCAAACCTTTTCCCTTTTTTCCAGCTTTGTACAGAAAACAACAAAATGACAAAATTGTACTCAACTGTATTTAGTTTTCTGGTAATGTAATCCGCATGATGGTGCCTTCTATGAATTCATCATTCCAGTCTTGCTGGTGATTTTGTACAGTGAATGAATTACTGTGCTGCAAAGCCAAACTGCTTCTGTACATTCAAGAACCATTGAAAAGCCTGCCTAACCAAACTGCAGTATCTGTACATTAGTAGAATTTTTTATTTTTATTTTTTTATCTTTTTTTTTTTTTTTTTTTTAA